GTGAGGAAAGGGTTCTGAGAGCCTTGGAAGTGATATTCGTGATCACCGCGAAATTCTCTATCGAATGGTGTATGAAGTGTCGAAAAATAAATTTCACTGCAAGGCTGCCCTGGGTGCATCTTACTTGCAGAAAATCTCAGTCAAATTAAGAGCTACCGAGTTGTATATTGGTCTCAAATTGCAGCTGAGACAACATTCTACAGACTGACAGAGCTGAATTTCTTAATTTTGTTCTTGTTTTACCGTCAAAAATATTTTTTTGGAATAGTTGAACTTTAGTTTTTGACTTTTCAAGCCTTCTGTTATCCGAAAGCAAAATAAACGAAATTGGGCTCTCTCTTTCACCATGTCGAAGGATGTTTTAGTTTCAGTTCAACATTAACTCGAGCTATCCATCACTTCAGCTAGTGAAGAATTTCTGTAAATACAAAAAAACTTCGTTTGAACCCATGTCAGAGCGACAGCTACTAAATGTTGATCCTGAAAAATTCCACTGTATCTATTCTTCATCATACTCAACATTCTCTGAAAAACGCTCATATTGGATTTTGGATTATCGAGGTAGAGTTTTCTGACACGGAAGTCTTAACAATTCATACCCATTTCTCCTGAGAAGAAAACGAAAATTTCTTTGAACAGATAGTCAAAGTCATATTTTGTATTGTGGAAGTGTTAGTCTCGTTTTTAACAAGAGATTTTTTAGATGTTTTCAGTTTTTTTTTCTCCAATAAAAAAAACAAAAACAAAACCAAGAAAAGAATTTGGAATTGTGTTTCTTTCCATAGTGCCATACACAGTATATAATTAATCGGCCATAATTAAAAGCACAAAATTACTTAAATCATAAAGATTTTTCCACAACAACAGCTAAGAACAAATCCACAAAACAACAAAATTCAATTTTGTTCTTTTGTCCACCAATCAAAAAGAAACGTCGCACAACGAACAAACAATTAACAAGTAAAAAACGGAGACACTACAGACACAAACATATAATAATAAGAGAGGAAGACATTACTGCCACCTCTAAAACGATGACACAAATCCAGATGTTACCAAAAATATAATTTATTTTTCTTACAATTTCATATTCTCTCGATACGTTTTTATTTTTTGAACAAGAAGAAATGATGATGGTTTTTTTTTTTGATGATTAAGAAAGAGACGGTTGTTCCCAAAGATGTTTTTTTTATATTAAAAAAAAAAGAAAATTAAAGGTGTTTATATTTTCAAGGCGAGGAATCGATTGATCTTCTCTCTAATATGTATCTGTTCATGTACAGTACTTTGGTATAATTCGCACTGTTAGAACAGCATACTTAGCGGTCAGATCGGTCGATGTTAAAAATGAATTTGATGGGACGTATCGAGAAATTATGATGATGAAGACAATGATACAAACTGAAACAAATATTTTTTCCTTCGGTTTTCTACACGCGTGTGTGACAAAAAAAAATGATGATTCAAAACAAACAAAATTTTTCAATGAACGAAAACTCCACGCTGATGATAACTATATATGTATGTATAGAGATAGAATAGAGCAAAAGTAGAGATGATTAAATGGATAAAAAAAATTTTCTCTTTACCTAATTTTTTTTCAGGAAATAAAAAAAAGATGACGGTTAAAAAAAAGCAAACGATGATGAATTTCCTTCGCTACATAATGAACAGATGTGTCTTTTTTCATACTTTTAATGATTGAATGTCTTTTTCAATGTTTGTTTGTTTTTTGATCGACGTTTTTCAAACACTAGTTTGATTATTAGTCGGATCAGTGGCCGAGTTATCATTGCCATTCTAGAAATAAACATGAGAATTAAATACAACAATCGATTTACGAATTTAGAACATTTGAGTTTATATGCTCTGATCTGCAATAGTATCACCGCAAAATATGAGAAAAAAGTCTGCTAACATCCACAAATTCATTATATAGCAGAAGGTAAACTTACGTCGCCATTTTGTCCGCCACGTCCATTTCCTCGTCGTGCTCCACGAAGAAAACGACCACGACCACGTCCACGCCCGCGACCAAATCCTCGTGGACCAAAATTACCTAAAACGGGGACATAAAGTCATAATGAAAAGGAAGCCCAATCGATATCTGAGTTCTCAACAAGTTACTGATTTCATTTTTTGAGAATTCATAATACAGTTACGTCTGATTCTTACCTCTCATTCCCATTGGACCACCACGACCAAAGCCACCACGTCCTCTGAAAATTCTTGGACCGCGACCTTTAGAGAAAAAAAAATAAGTTAGTTCATTGTATTTTCATTCACAATTGATTTAAATATTCATAAAGCCCTTTCTACTATCATTGGTATAGGTAATACTTAAAAATCGAATAAAAAGTCCGATTACTCCCATAGTGCCAGCAGAGATAGAAGAAATATGTTCCAACATAAAGAAGCTTCGCATGTTTAATTAAAGAAGTCACATTTTGTATCTTATATACCTCCTCGCATCATTGGTGGACCTGATAAATTGTCATCAAATGGTGGCATTGGTTGTTCAAATCCATCATTGAAACCTCCATCGTATCCACCTCGTCGAAATTGCATTGCTAAACATATACAAAAATATCACAGATTACTGATCGATTTAATGTATCGTAGATTAGACAAAAAATATATGTAGTAGGAGCAAAAAATAACGTACGTGGTCTACCACCAAATCCTCTTCCTCTACCGAATCCTCTTGGAGGTCGACCGAATGAACCGCCCCGATTTGGAGGGGGACCGTAATTTGCATCCATACCACCCTGAAAATCGTCATTATAACCACCATCAAATCCATCACCACGCATACCACCACCGCCGCCAAAAAAGCCTAAACAGAAAAGATTAACAAATTAAATCTAATTAAAACATCCAAAAAACTTGGAGCAACCTTAAACAAAATATCTTACCTCCGCGAAATGGACCACCACGAAATGGACGACTTCGAAATGGACCTGAAATATGCAAAATAAGTGTCAATCGTCAAAATGACTACTGTACGCATAAACTTATGATTGTGTTCTTAGGAAACTGTTCCGTACGTTCAGGTAAATTATCGACTTCCTTCAGATAAAATTTCATGCTTATATTCCCTAAACTCTATTTTCGATCCAAAGATGTATTTAACATGATTCTTAAATAACTTACGTCGATAGCCACCACGTGTACTATATTGTCGTCTGTCTGCGGCATATTTTGAACCTTTTACACTAGTGCCATTTGGACCTGTCACATTCGTTGCTTCATAACCTTTTTCACCTGTTAAAAATAAAACAAAAGAATCACTAAAGAGTAATAACACAAAAGAAATCACTTGGTATACCCTGAACTATATCAAATTCGACTTTTTCACCATCATCGACACTTCGTAAATATTTTCTTGGATTATTTTTTATTATTGCCGTTTGATGAACGAATATATCTTCGTCGACATCATCTCTGAAAAAAAATGATGAGTCGAATGAAAACTATTTTACGTACATAGATTTATATCTTCTCACCGATGAATGAAGCCATAACCACTCTTAACATTAAACCATTTGACACTTCCTGTCACCTTTTGAACTAAAAATCAAAAGAATATTGATTACTTTTTGTTCAACAAATTACATTGATGCCTTTACTACTTAAAGTTCATAGAATAAAGCAAAGTAAAGTGGTTGGTAAATTAGCTTCGATCATATGAGAATTAAAAGAGCAACTCGCTCTCAAAAATAATTGCTCACCAGATGTCATATTTCCAAATTTGCAGCATCCGTATTCTCGTTCAACAAACTTTTAATAAAAACAATTCTTAACTCGAATATAAAAAAGTATAGCTAGCACACAATTGAACATAAATCAATAAATAAAGACTTGAATTAGCTTTTTACTATTTACAACTATCATAAAATTGAAAGTCAAATTGTTCTAAGTGAATTTTTCACTACAAGGGTTTCTCAACAGCGTTTTTCGATATTTTACATTTTTGAACTAAAACTCTACAAAACAGTTTTAGAAATATTGACCAAATGGTAGAACTAGAATAAGTTGCCATCATTGACTTCTATTCGTAGAATGTGAGAAGTGGTACTCATATCAAGTGAGTTACCGACCATTCTACTGAAAAGCGAAGCGAGAGAAATAGCAGAAATTATAATTTTCGGCTTTTTCTCGTACGTGTATTTTCCGTCAGAATGTCGAAAGTATTTAAGATTACAGAGAATAAATACTCACAAATCGACGATTCAGTGATAAACAAACAAAAAAAAACGAAAAGAATTTCTACAGACCTTCTTTTAAGAATTCTTGAAAGCCACAAACTACTGTCCATACCATCTCATTATCTTATGAAAAACAATAGTTAAACTAATTTTCAGTTTTCAACAAAAACAAATCGTACACTTTACAACGCATTCTTCTGCTTGATTTTTATTACCGATCAAGATGCGCTGAATTTCCCTTAGAATGACAGTAATGTTATACTAAATCCAGTCAGCCAGATATAATCACAAATGCTATAAATTAAATGACACTCGAATTTTTCGATGATTGCATGTATAATTAAAGAGTTTTGATCTTTCGGTTTGTGTATTTAATCTTAAAAATTGCTTAGAAAAATTATAAAATAAAAAGATTGATGTTTTTGGATTCTCAGCCTCAGGGAAAATGATAAAAAACTTACCAACGACATCTTTACCATTTATTTGTTTTTTATCATCAGATCCCGCTTGACTATCTGGTTTATCGAACTGATTGTTGTTATTGCCTTGCACTTCGCTTGCAGACATTCTTTTGTTTTGTGTCGAATTCTTTTTTTTATTGATTATTAATGTTTTTATTTTTATTTTATGTTGTTATTACGTAAATCTGTTGACCGATTGGTCTTTCGTTGTTGTAAAGATCTTCTTCCTTCCTCGCTTGTTCTTCTATTACATTTGACTGACAAATGAATCTCTTTTTGCCACAAACCTAATATACTTTTTTCTCTCATTCTCTCTCTTATCACGTGACAAAGAACGAATAAAAGAAGTAATGAGAGAAAAGAGAAATTGTATGTTCGAGATCGTTCCAACGTTAGTCATCGTGGAATGTGTAGAAAATTTTTTTCTGCTAACCAAGAACGAACGAACAATACAATACATGCATTTGGCTGACTGTATTTTATAGAGACTGTGCCAACGAGTAGAACATAGAGAAAGAAATATGAAGAGACAACGTAGCGAATGTGAGAAATAAAGGGATTGATCCATACATCGTAAATTTCTACATTTCTACATTTTTTGGACTTTTTTTTTGATAGAAAATTCTGCGGTTTTCGATATGAAGTAAACAAAGAAAATGATGCCTCAAGGTCTTAACTCAGAAATTTTTTTTATAGTAGAAACCTGGACTGTTTGCATTATTTTGTCCAAACTTTCGACTATCGATCTCTCGACCTACGAGTTGAAAGTTTAAACATCGATAGCATTGATAGTTCACAGTACACAATTCTTAGTAATACACTAGCAAAAGAGGAGAGAAGGTTGGTACAGTTTCTTGAAGAAAAAGTTGGAAGATTTCAGAGATAACACCAAGTTTCGAGAAGATAAACACTACTTTTGCCTATTATGCAAGTTCTCCAGTTTAGATCCTTTCAATGCTCATTTACTTTGCGAAAACAGTTTGTTTTCATTCGTTGTAAGGTTCTGACATTCAAAATTAGCCAAAATTTGCTTTTTTCTTACGAAAAATATCTTTAAGAACTCTTTTCTTAATTATTTTATTGTTTGCTAAATATGAATGCTATTATAGAACGCACAGGTTTTAATTAACTCAGTCACAATAATGAATATTTCATCAATAGATGTTTACATCAGTTCAAGTTTCAATTATCTGAGAAAAGAGTAAATGTACTTTTGATCGCCAAAATCAGATACTTTTAATCACCAAATTTTTCAGTATGATCTCACATTTTTATTTCTCAACTATCACTGGAATATTAACCAAATGAACAATATTTTTACAGTTTTATTTATATCTATTTACAAATTTAAAGCTGTGCTAACTTTCTTGGGAGGCCTTTTTGCTGTTCGTTTGCCTAATGGCTGAATACATCAGAAAATCATTGAATGTAATCATTGGCTAGATATTTATCGTTCTCGTCAGTGGCTTACGTTCAATGATTTTGTGGCGTGACAACAATCCTGTTGGTTTGTTGTACCATTAGAATCATGTAGCTGTCCGATTATAAACGGGACTGAAAACGGGGTGAACAATGTGAAGCTGAAAAATGGAATGAAAAATTTTGCAGGGTTTCTAGAACAGCCAACTTTGTACTCTAGAAGACGTTTTTTTATGTATTTCTTGCTATGCTGGGACATGAAAAAAATTAATTAGCTATTTTATAGTACTTAAGACTTTTTTTTGTGGTAGCAGTTTCGCGTCAATACCAAAGGACGGGTGTCGATCAAAGGCAAAATCGGCCCCCTCACAGATCAAGCTCATATTAACCGATCTGATGTAGTTTTTGTCGGTGATTAACCCCAAAATATTTTTTTCTTCAATGTCCCTCGGAAAAATTTTCGCAAGCGAAAGTTTTCTTTCAATAAATGAACTTTACTCAGATTATTTTCATTATTTCATCTCTTTATAGATGAGTCGAGAAAAATCTCGTGATTATAGTTTGACATGGTCAACATTTTTTCAAATTTTTTTCAAGATACAGATTACGGTTAACGAGATTTAATTTGATTCTGTAGTCAAAGGGGTAAACTATTTCTCATGAATTATTAGGAGCTAATGGAATACCATTAACGCAGATTCATGATTGAGATTAAGAATTCACTAGGCGTTCTTCGTTCCTTTACGTACTAAACCGCGCGTGCGGTTTTTCGGTAGTCGTAGTTAGGAGAAGTTAGTTTCTATATTTCGTGTTACTAAGCCATGTTATTTTGCATTTAAGTTAGTCAATATCACTTCTAATTTCGAAACCTCTAAGTCGAAGTAGTATCTTTCAAAAAATAGAAACTCATCGAAGTTCTAAGTCAAATTTCGATTCTTGCGTTAGTGTGAACCTCGCTGATTCTGAGTATCTGTCATGCCACCAAAGAGAGTTCCAAGACATGGTAACACCAGACCCATCATTCCTCCTCTTTCCACGGGTGCAATATGAGCACCCCGTTTTCAGCACATGTAAAAGCAAAATAATTTTTTAAATTCTTCAAATTGCTAGCTCAGGACAGATCATTAGCAATGATAATGCAATGGCAGGCATCCTGCATGAATAAAATTGAACAAAATATTCTTAGTGGTTATTTTGCAATATTTATTCGTTTCAGATCAATTCTGGGAAATATAAAAACAGGTAAATATATTTAAACACACAAAGTTTGTAAATAGTTCTCTTTATCGATTTATTGTATAGAAGTAAAATCTTCTACGTCTACTGACTTCTTAATAATTAAAGGAGAGGGGCGTAAAGACGAAAAGATAGCCAGTGAAAGACAATAAAATATTCTATGAACAATCCTTATATATCATTTCAATACGAAGAAATTATTTTTACAATAGACAAATTGACCTGAAACGCGGTATCACGGATGTTTTAAGTACTTTTTTCGCCATATGTAAACGACGATGCAACTTGTATTTGATATAGAAACATAGCCCTTAATCTGCTCTACAAAATTCTATATAAAGAACCTTTAACCATCATTGGCCGAGTCACTTATAGTTTCTACAAGAGACAAATTGCACCTAAAAAGACGATATCAGCGATGTTTTAAGTACTTTTTCTCCATATGCAAACAATGATCCGACTCGTATTTGATATAGAAAAATATCCACTGAAAAACTGAATAAAATGGTATATGAACCATAGTTACATACCATATTACTAAGGAGAAATGGTTTATTTTCAAGCATTCCCTGTCTAGTGACTATGCCTGAGTGATCATATTTTTCCATTTTCTCGCATAAGCAAGAGAGGGATGCAATTAGCCTTTAGTATAGAAAAATAGCTCTTGGAAAGCTATACAATATTTGGAGTAAACAAACTCTACATACCATTGGCTCAGTCCATTATAATTTAAATACGAGACAAATCAAGGAAATGCACTTATATTTTGCAGTTTTCACCATTAAATTTCAGTTTTTTCTCAAAACCAACATCATATTTAGAATCATCGTTAAAAACTGCATTGAACAATCTTTCTCTCAGAATTTTTAGAGAACTTTGATTTTTTTTCAATTTTTTCGCCGAGATTTTTGCTCAAAAATCAAAGTTGTCTAAAAATTCCGAGAGAGAGATTGTTCAATGCAGTTTTTAACGGTGATTCCAAATATGCATACAGTTTACTTACATTCACTAGGGTTGTTAATGCGAAAAGCACTGAATTAAAAGGAGATACGTGATTGTGTAGTTCAACAGAATATAGAAAAGCAATCACGTTATTTATTTTTAAGTATCCGTCTGGTATAGCATAATTATAGTATATTTATTGTGGTAGTTTATCTTTTGATAAGTATGATTCTTGAACTCTAAATCATTCTCGTTGTTTTGCAACACAAAGTTTTGATTTCGATATGTTTCATAATGTAAACCATAAATTTTTATTATATGATTATCAAGAGAGATCTTGATTCAAGATCTTAATAAGAAAATGTAAGAATTCAAGAAATCTCAAGAAGTCAAGATCTTGAACACCTTGTAATTTCTTGACTTCTTGTACCAAGATCTTGAAAATTCTTGAATCATCGTTTTTATTTTACACTTTTGGGTAAATAATATAAGTGCGAATATTTTCACACTTAGAATAACTTCGAATTTTTTTCCTTCTTGAACATAGTTGTTCAAGGAAGAGCCTATGATTCTATATGGCCGTAAATCTGATGGCTATAACTGTCATGAAAGAAATTTTTCACTTAAAACTTTGCACTGTCTTGCGTGGATTCACTCAAGATCTTGAAATTTCTGTTCCCAAGAACTTGAATGAAGATTCAAGAATCCAAGATTTTGACTTCTTGGTGGTTTTTCAAAGGTCTTGGGTATAAGAAGTTTCACTACGGCAGTTTTCTTTAGCGAGATCTGAATAAAGAAGAACTTTCAAGAGACGACGTTCACTTCTTGAGAAAATCGTTACAGAAAATGACGACAAAGATGGATAAAGAAAAAAGATGAAACTGATTAGAGCATAAAAAGTTACATAGAATCCCATATTTATCCACTATAAAAGTCATATTCTACATGCCTTTTCAGGGATGTGAAGTTTCGACCTTCCCTCTAATAAAGCAACTTTGATCTTGTTTTTCTCTGCCCCTACAGAGCTTACATCACCATTGGCATACCACACGCAAGAGTATTTCGAGTAGTACAAATACTAATATTAACAATTAAAATTATGAAGCTACTCATAGCGTCAAAATCGCCTAACTTTTGCCGATTTTGACGTAAAATTGTGATTAGTTACAATTTTTCTGCTGTGTTTCTGCGACAATAAGCAAAATGATCGCCGGTTAATCGTGCGATTAATCGCGACAAATCGGCAAAAGTTAGGCGATTTAGACGATATAAGTAGAGAGCTGATTAATCCAATAAAAAAAGAATAAGGTCGATATCTATCTTCCTCTTTGGGTACGAAGTTCATCTTTGAAGACCACTTGATTGAATTGGTTAAAATCAAAATTGCTTTAAAAAGAATTATAGGGGACATTTTTCGCAGTGCTTATTCTAATTAAACTCGACCAATAGAATTCGTTGAAAAAATCTGCCACAAAAAATGTTCCGTATAATTATTTTTTAAGTATTATT